TTATAATTAAATTTTGATTTAAATTCTAAGATTTCATCCATAGTATATTGTTTAATATTAATATCGATCTAAACCCGTTGCACCATATAACCCCGTCCCGTAAAATTAAACATCATTTTTTATTTTTTTTGAATAATATTTTTATCCACTACGGGTCACAGGTTCATGCGGATAAGCCCGTGGAGAGTTGCGGGTTTGCGTGTCGACCCGCCAAAAGAGAAGCTATCTTTTGAAACCTTTTGTTTTATTTAGAGGTTTTGAGAAAGTATCCCTAAAAAATAATTTCATTATATGAAAAAAAAAAGTAGAAGAAATTGTAATATCAACATTCCCGATTTTTACATCACTCGTTACTATTAATTTTTTTCTTTTTTGCAGATAAAAATCAGAAGTTAACTAAGTCGAGATTTTTAAAAAGATTGTGTAGAGATTTTTGGTAAATTGTTGAGAACATATTTGATTTCAAAATCTTTACTTAAATAGATAAGGAAAGATTTTGTACAGACTTTTGCTAAATATATGAGAAATGAATTTCATTTAACAATCTTTACTTAAATAAAACAAATTTAAATAATTAATGCTAATGGCATGCCATTGTAAATACTTCTCAACTTCAGGATTTATTTGCTAATTGTGATCCAAAAATGTATATATAGACTAGTCCCCTATATATATGTGACCTCGAAGAGAAGAAGGGAGAGGAAATAAAGAAGAGTGAGTTGAGAGAGAAAGTCAATAAAGAGTAAAGTGTGTTCTCTCGTTCACTTCCCTCTCCCTCTCTTAATTATTTCTTTACAGCCACACATATATAATATAATAATATTATATTTATTTACGTTATGTTTTATAACAAGGTTAAGATTGTTTCGAGAATTGTTGTGGGATAATAAACTGGTAAAGACAGAAGCTACATGATTAAGAGGCTGCCGGTTCGAATCCTATGAGATGGGATTTTTTGTATTTTTTTGAAACGCAAGAAAAATCATTTTTCTTTGATAAGCTCATTATATACTGGTTGATTTCCGTAATATTTCCCCAAATTAAGCCCCGAATATAACCGATCTAAAAAATAAGATTCGGTCCAAGATAAATAGGCTTAAAAAGCCATCATCTTGAGAAGGGGTATTACAAGTCCCACATTTTTATAAGGATCTAAGATTAAATACATGATCCAGATTGGATATGTTGTTGATCCTAAAGTGGGATTCAATTCGAGATGAATGAACTCGAAGAGTTATCATCACGAGGGGGAGAATTAGAGGAATCCCACATCGACAATAAGTCGATAAATTTTGGTGAGTTTGACACCCCAGAGCGAGATAACTCTGGTGAAGTCATATCCTAAAATTTATCGCTTTTTGATAAAATGGAACATCTAAAAATGATGTTTACTCTCAAAATGAGCTTTAAGCGAATCGTTCATAACGCAAATCCAATAGATTACAAAAACGATTCATGGTGATTTAATCTCCATATTTTTATATGGAGCATGCAGTTTTTGCATGTATTAATGATTCTATATAAGGCCAACGATTTATAAGAAATATTCTCCTATGTTATATATACATGATTGGAGATCAAATATTTCTCATTTTGAATTTTATGGGTGTGAGATATATATTATAAATGCTCCTTTGCACCGCATAAAAATTAACATCCTAAAATGATGAAATATATAGACGCTAGAGATGAGTCTCTACTCTATAATATTGAGCCATCTTATGAGAGATGTGCCTATTGCAAGATTTGCATATCATCTTGTTGATGATAAAAGTTCCCCATCATTATGGGAGAATCATTGAATAGTTAAGATCTTTGAACAAATGACTATAATAAATATGAACTTTAGAGTTCAAAAGTTCAAAAGGATCACTATTCAGAATATATTGCAAATCAAATGCAAAAAGCTGATGGATGAGATTTCATAAATTATTGATCCTCGTATAAATACATATGAACTTAAAGTTCATAGAAAATCTCTTGTCCCAGCTAAAAATGCTCTACAAAAATTATGTCTCTGGCTGATGACATATTATTGTATATAACACGATAAAAACGTGATAGACAACTTTGGTTCCAAATATAAAGAAAATCCTCGAAAATAAAAAAAGAGCATATTATTATTAAAAAGAGGATTTAACTCTTAAAAAGAGGAGCATATAGACTTCTAAAGAGGAGTATAGAGACTCCTCAAGAGGAGCAAAGAGACTCCTAAAGAGGAGTAAAAATACCGATTGTCATGGTTAACAACTAAATGAGGTACCTGAATAAAATCATTTGTAATGATTAAGAGATCTCGATTAACCATGTCATTACGGCAAATATGGAACCAAAGACAACATAATGTCGACAAGAAAAATAATCTAGTGCACAAATGAGGATCATTAATCTCTGCTCTGTGAGCGTAAAGAGATATATATTGGCCAATAAACAAAGAGACAGCCAAGTCTATATTAATCTCGTATAAGAAACGAGTAATTCCTAGACACATGGTCCAAGCATCAAAAGAGTATTATAATACTTAAAACAAAACGGTGTGTCGCGCCGGATTTTGTCAAAATCACTCGATATTGAGTTGATAAATAAATGACTTGAATTGCGTCTCTTCGGATGTCTGTAGGACTAATCCCCAAAAAATATTTGATATCATATTTATATTCCCGGGAACTTATAAGCATGATGTTTTTGAACATCATCAAACTCTTAAAGAGTTATTTGGAATAAAAGATCTTGGAAAGACAAAAGTCTCTCCAAATATTCCAACCAAACATCTAAAGAAACAGATATTATATTAGTCACTTCTAAGGAAAGTCGACTTTATATAGTTTGATCATGAAGCACTATATATAAATGCTGACGAGTATTTACATATTTTGTGAATTGTAGCTAGCATATATAAATGCTGACGAGCATTTATATATCTAGTGAATATATTGTACCTAGCATTTTCTACTGATCTACTTGCAGGTATAGTTGATCTCCTCAGACTAGACCTTGAATGAGTTCAAATGTGACTACCATATCTGCAAGGTACGATTAACTTGGGTTTATTTTATTCTAGAAACCCCAATTTTGGTTTAGTTGGTTTTGCAGATGGAGAATCTATATCAGATCTATCTAAACATATATCGCAAAACAACAACTACGTGGCGTTTCCAACAATAAATTTTGGTCGTCGCTGCTCAAGCC